CAGGCTTGAGCCACCGCGCCTGGCTCTTCCTTGTATTTTACATATGAAAGCACATTAAGTCTTTTCTCTTTTACCCCCACCCGCCTTTGTTGATAGCCCTCAATACCTGTCTGGATGCTGTTACTTTTCTGATAAATCCCAAAGGCACCACGGATTGCTTCTACCACCTCCCTAACTCCACCAGGTCCTGGGGCTGGGCCTCCCTCCAGGCCCTCCCTAAGCTGCAGCCTCAGAGGACTTTCTGGAGCATAGAAGGGATCCTGCCACTGCCCCTTCCCCACCTCACACGGTTCCCACGTCTTCTCTGTCCCATCAGAAGGGCTCGAGTCTTCTGTAAATTCTTTTAGGCTGACTGATGGCACTATGGACTTCATGGTAACCTCTGTGACCTGCACATACACCTCCAGATGAGTTCCTGGAAATAGAAAGTCTGAAGTAACTGGAAAACCACAAAAGGGAAGAATGACCAAACCCTGTGGCACCCAATTAACTTTGAGACATTCTTTTCTTGTTCCTTATTCGCATCCCGACTGATAAGTCAACTGGGCTTAGTAATGACCTTGGTCAACCTCCTGACTCCAGACCCTATGAACCCCTCCCAGCTTGCAAAAACCACCCTGAACTGTAACTTCTGTAACTTTCCACTGCCTACCCCAAACCTATAATATCAACTCCTACCCCACGCCCCTGAGCTGACTCTCTTTTTGGACCTCAGCCCACTCACACCTGGGTGAATAAACAGCCTTGTTGCTTACAAAGCCTGCTTAGGAGGTCTCTTATTCAGAGCAAGTGTTTTAACATCTTAACTGCTTGCTATTTGCCTTTCTAGGGACCACTCCTTAGCCTCTACTTCTATCTGCCTTGTACCAGGAAGGATTTCTGCAGGTATATGCCTAGTGCCTGCTCCTGGGTATACTCATTTAGTATTTGAAATGCCCCCACAACCACTGGGCATGGATCATGGGACCTGTATTCCACAGCTGGCACAATCCAAACTAACTAGGATGTGGCCGGGTTTGTGGACACAGGGACTTGAGTGTGACTGCCACAGAGGGGAAGCCTGGATGAAAAGCTGGCCTGGAAGGGATGGAGAAGGGAGGGAGGTTGGGACCCTGACTGAGATGGAATCATGCACAGCTGAGGTCCTGGAAGACTCCTTGGTGGGAGCTGTCTGTTCTGTGACCCATGCTGTCAGAGGGGCCCTGCCTTAGCCAGCTGAGGAGGCCCAGTCACCCTGGAGCTCAGTTTCTTCTGCTCCCTTCACATCTGTGGTCACTGTGCTCTCACACAGTCTTCCCTCAATGGCCAGCCATTTCCCATCTCAGGCCTTAGGCTTAGCCTGGAGTTTTTAATATTTGCAGGCCACATTGCCCCCTCCCTAGCTTATTAAACCTGTGTTCTCAGGTACAGGTTTATTCCTTAAAATGCCCCACAATCAGTGATAAAGTCTTTGGGTTCATATGTATATACATACACACACACAGATATATATGCTTTTTGAGGCGGAGTCTCCCAGGCTGGAGTGCAGTGGCATGATCTTGGCTCACTGCAACCTCTGCCTCCTGGGTTCAAGGAATCCTCCTGCCTCAGCCTCCCAAGTAGCTGGGACTACAGGCACCCACCACCACACCTGGCTAATTTTTGTATTTATTTATTTTTTAAGATGGAGTCTTGTTCTTGTTGCCCAGGCTGGAGTACAATGGCGCAATTTCGGTTCACTGCAACCTCTGCCTCCTGGGTTGAAGCAAGTCTCCTGCCTCAGCCTCCCAAGCAGCTGGGATTACAGGTGCCCACCACCATACCCAGCTAATTTTTGTAATTTTAGTAGAGACAAGGTTTCAACATGTTGGCCAGGCTAGTCTCAAACTCATGTGATCCACCCGCCTTGGTCTCCCAAACTGTTGGGATTACAGGTGTGAGCCACCACACCTGCCCAATTTTTCTTATTTTTAGTAGAGATGGGATTTCACCATGTTGGCCAGGCTGGTCTCAAACTCCTGACCTCAGGAGATCTGCCTGCCTCAGCCTCTCAAAGGGCTGAGATTATGAGATTACAGGCATGAGCCACCACACCCAGCCTTGTGATAAGATCTTTAGAGAGAACAACCCAAATGCCCGTCAATGATAGACTGGGCAAAGAAAATGTGGCACATATACACCATGGAGCACTATGCAGCTATAAAAAACGATGAGTTCCTGTCCTTTGCAGGGACTTGGATGAATCTGGAAACCATCATTCTCAGCAAACTGACACAAGAACAGAAAGCCAAACACTGCATGTTCTCACTCATAGGTGGGTGTTGAACAATGAGAACATGTGGACTCAGGGAGAGTAGCATCACACACTAGGGGCTGTTGGTGGGGTAGGGGAGAGACAGTGGGGGGTGGGGAGGGATAACATGGGGAGAAATGCCAGATATAGTATGATCTTAAAAGAGAAAAGCAAAATAACTTGAGGCTCTCACCTCCCTTGGCTGCCTGAGAAAGGTCAGGGTCTGGGCTTCTTCTTCCTATGTCCTTCCGAGCTTCTTGGGCCAGGTCTTCACCCCTATCTTGCCCTAATCCTCCAGGCCCCATCCCTTGGGGCTGAGACTTCCTCTAAAGCCACCGATGTCCGGGCGCTATGGCTCACGCCTGTAATCCTAACACTTTGGGAGGCTGAGATGGGCAGATCACGAGATCAGGAATTCGAGAACATCCTGACCAACATGGTGAAAACTTGTCTCTACTAAAAATACAAAAATCAGCCAGGCGTGGTGGTGTGTGCCTGTAATCCCAGCTACTAGGGAGGCTGAGGCAGGAGTATCACGTGAACCTGGGAGGTGGAGGTTGCAGTGAGCAGAGATCGCACCACTGCACTCCAGCGTGGACCACAGAGAGGAGACTCTGTCTCAAAAAAACAAATAAATAAAAAATAAAGCCACCTGTGTCATCTCTTTCCTACCCTGAATCTGTTCCTTTCTGCTCTTCCCTGCTGTCAGAGCAGCTATTGTTTCCTACTAGGACTCCTGCATTTGCCACCCCACCAGGTGCACTGTCTTCCCTACAGCCCTTTAAACATGCTAATGGGACATAGCTTTCCCTCCCTCAACACACTGCAATCCTGCTACTCAGCCCAAGGTTCACTCATCTGTCTTGCCCAAGAGAGGGCCACCCTCCCTCCTCAAAGCCCTCACGTACACCTTCCCAACTACCCTATGCTCTTCCCGAAACTCAGCCCAGTGAAAGCAGACTTAGTGGGCCCAGAAGGCCATGGTGTGAGTCTGAAAAAAGACAATGATGGCTGGCTATTAGACTTGTATTTTAATGAGGTTTCCCACCTGGCACATATTTTCCTCCCCTGACCTCCAAATACCACATCTATAACACAGCAACCCAGTAGTTGCCCTGGGTGAGGGACAGGCATCCTGACCTTGTCTCTCTTCTGGAGGCTTTGTTCTAGTCATGCATTTGGACAGTTGGTTCCCTCTTTCACTCCTGAGTCCCCTCTGTCCTCTGAGATAGGGGAAGTGAGAACTGCTCCCTGAGGAATGAGATCACGAAGTGGCCTGAAAAAGGCTGGGAAGGCACAGAAATGAAGCTTTCAGCAAGTGGGAAATGTGAGGAATGCGTTCATCAGATGGGAAACAAATAGTGGCATTTATTGGACTCTGTGTGGAGGCCCTGGGTCTCAGCAGATGTATTTGTTTTATATTGTTACTGTAACAAACTACCAGAAACTCTGACGGTTAAAACAATATCCAATTATTAGCTCACCATTCCATAGGTCAGAAGCCCAAGCAGGTCTTCTGTGGGTCTCATAAAGGCTGAAATCAAGGTGTGGGATGGACTGAGCTGCTATCTGGAGGCTCTGGGGAATAACTTGCTTCCAAGCTCATTCCGGTTGTGGGCAGAATCTAGTTCCATGCACTTCTAGGACTGAGGTCTGTTTTGTTGCTGGCTGTTGCATTCCCTCTCATGGACCTCTCTACTTTGAAAGCCTCTGGAACCCTCTCCTACTTCCTGTTTTAAGATCAGCCAATGATTAACCTTAATTATTAGACTTGTCTGCAAAAACCCTTTCACCGTGTAGTGTAACTATTCATAGGTGACATGATCCTATTTACAGGTTCTGGGGATTTGGGCACGGAATCTTGGAGGCGGCCATTGTCAGAATTCTGTCCCCCATACCAGATTAACTTGCAATGTCCCAGAATCTCACAAGGTCTAGCTCAAGGGAGACACAGAGCAGGGTGAAGCAGTTGTCTGTTCCTGTCTGCGTTGTAGCAGAAGGTGCCAAGGCCGAGGTGGGGGTCTGCTCCCCGATCCCACCCACAGCGGGCTGGCCTGGAGGGTGTGTGGTAGGGGTAGCTCGTCTGCGCCTCCTGACGGCCAGGGAGCGAGACCTAAATTCAGCTCTCACCCGTGTCACGGGAATAAGGCCGCTTCCTCGGTTCGCAGTGGGGTTTAAACTGGCCGGAAGAGGTTGGTGACTTGCGCCGCGAACTGCCTTCCGGTTCTCCATCATAGGGCGTCCGCGGAGTGACCGCGCAGGCCCCGCCACACGCACGATCTCCTGGGCGACGCCGGAAGAGTGCTCCGGTCCGGAGACTCCTCGCGTCGCGGCAGCCCCAGCCCCTTCGATTTGGGTTCCGACTAAGAGGAGAGCCGCAGTGCGGACTGGCGGGAGCTGATCGCCATAGAAATACCGGAAACGTGCTGCGGCCTAGGGTCTCCCCAGCGCCGCCGCGGCCGCTGGCTTCGGTTCCGTCGGCGTCGCGGCCCGGAAGTGCGGCCTTGGAGTCGGTGGCCACGGCCGGGCCTGGTGCCTGAAGAGGTGTCGGACGGGCACCCCCCTGCCACGGGGCTGCGGAGGAGGCTGGGGCGGGCCAGGGGAGAGGCACCTGCGCTCCGTGTGGCGCGCACGCTGCGAACGCGAGGGGGCGCTGCAGGACCGGGGTACGGCGCGATCGAGGGCGGGGGCGGCCGCAGGGTCACAGGGGTGCTTCGGGCTTAGGTGGGGCGCAGGCGGTGGGGCGGAGTGTGGGAGAGCGCGCTCGGAGGAAAGCACACAGCGCGGCGAACGCGTGGCGGGAGTGCGGCGCCGGGTCCGAGGGCGGGCCTTTGTTCTGCCGTGTCCAGGCGGGCCTTGCAGGGCCGGGACTGAGGACTCAGCCCGCCGGGGGCGGGGCGGGAAAGGAGGGATCCAGGCCCGCGGTTGATGCGCAAGTCTCCGTCCCCATCGCCCGGACGCGGATTAGGAGCCGCTCAGGCGCCAGGTGAACATGGACGGCGCGGTGCTGCCTGCCGAGTTCGCCTTTGCAGGGCACAGGCCTGGCTTTTCTGGGGCATTGTACGGGGCGCTCCGGGCGGGGTGCTGTGTCCGGATCCGCAGTCTGGAAGGGCGCCCTCTGGCCGCCGTGTGGAGAATGACAGGGAGGCGAGGGCGCCGAGGGACCAGCCGCGTTTCTTCATCCGTCCGGGACGGCGGGAAGCGCGCAGTGGAGGTGCTCCCAGGGGTCCGAGGGTCAGATGGGCATGCAAGAAAGGGAGGCGTCTGGCTGAGCAGAGGGACGGCGGACTGGGCATAAGGAGGCAGAGGGGTTGAATGTTGAGACCCCAGTAGAGCCCGAGGGTGTAGGGGCAGCATCAAGCCGAGCCCACTCTGGGGCTTTGTGACCCCAAGGGAGAGACAGGCTGGTGGATCCTATACGGATGTCACAGTCCAGAGCTCCTACTCTTCTCCCTAAGACCGGAGGTGTGAGCAATCTGGGTGCGGGATGAGCCGAATCTCTCATCCCTTGTTTGAGAGAAGGGGAAACAGGTCGAAGGACCACGGGTTTACCTGCTTGATGGAAGGAGTAGCAGAGCTCTTCAGATTCCAGCGTCCTCTGAGGACTACTCCCGCCCCTTTCTGGTGCCCGATGCTGGGCCGTGTCCCCGCTTGCTCCATTACCTTTCCAGTCACACACCCTGCTCATTCCACACTTCCTCTCTCTGTGCCACACCCACACTCTGGGCCCCACAGGTTCCATCGAGCTGGCAAGAAAGCTGGGGCTGTGGGAGGCACCTCCCTGCCTGCTATGCTAGGGTCTGCCAGGGACCATGTACTGGTTTCCCTGGGACATCTGCCAAGGTAATGTCCAACCTTTTACCTTCAGCCCTTAGTGACCAGGCATATCCAGAACCACTCTGCCCAGGAAGCAGGTCGTGCCATCCCACTCCTGCAAAAGCCTCTATATACTAGTTAAGGTGACCTCCTGAGGCAGCAGTCCTGCATGTGCACAGGGTGTCATGTTGGGGGATGTGGCTAAAGGAAAACAAATGGAGCTGCCAGCAGGGGTGGAGGAGGAGGGGAAGCTAGCCGGGTAGAGAGCAAGGTCTACTCTGGGTGAAGCAGATTAGCCAGCTGGGATGGGGGTCCCTGGCCTCTTCTACACACAGGGCTGCCCTCTTGGAAGAGCACATGGGAAGGCTTAGGGTTATTGGAATCGGAGTGGGGTGGGTGGGTAAGTCAAGATAGAGTAGGCCAAGCCGTGAACGTTTTTGGGGGCAGCGAGCGAGGCCAGGAGAGGGGAGATCTCTCATATCCCCAATACCCTCTCCTAGGGGTGTGCTAGGCTTTGCGTAGTGGTGGGGGATTGTAGAGGGTCTAGCCAGGGCTGAGCTGGGGGAGGGGGGAGTGCTGGAGTGTCCTGTGTTGAGAATGGGAGCTGTGAAAGGCAGCTGGGGAAGGATGGGTTGGGGAGGCCTGGGAGTGTGGTGCACTCTTGAGTCCTGTCCTGCAATAAGGAGGGAGGGGAAAGGGACTTTGGGACAGAGGAGGGTCCTCAGTTGACCTCTCCCTGCCCCCCTCTTATTTTGTGCAGATGGCGGCTGCAGAGGCTGTGCACCACATACACCTGCAGAACTTCTCACGCTCTCTGCTGGAGACCCTCAATGGGCAGAGGCTGGGTGGGCACTTCTGCGATGTGACTGTGCGCATTCGTGAAGCTTCGCTCCGTGCCCACCGCTGCGTACTGGCAGCGGGCTCGCCCTTCTTCCAAGACAAGCTGCTGCTGGGCCACTCAGAGATCCGTGTGCCTCCGGTGGTGCCCGCGCAGACGGTGCGACAGCTAGTCGAGTTCTTGTACAGCGGTTCGCTTGTTGTGGCACAGGGTGAAGCTCTGCAGGTGCTAACGGCTGCATCGGTGCTTCGCATACAGACCGTGATCGACGAATGCACGCAAATTATCGCACGCGCTCGAGCCCCGGGCACCTCTGCACCCGCGCCCCTCCCCACACCTGTGCCCCCGCCACTCGCACCTGCGCAGCTTCGTCACCGCCTGCGCCACCTGCTGGCTGCGCGTCCCCCGGGGCATCCTGGTGTCGCGCACAGCCGTAAGCAGCGCCAGCCAGCGCGTTTGCAGCTGCCTGCTCCCCCGACACCTGCCAAGGCCGAAGGGCCTGATGCTGACACCTCACTGTCCGCGGCCCCTGACGACCGAGGTGATGACGATGACGAGGAAACTGACGATGAGACCGATGGCGAGGACGGCGAAGGTGGCGGCCCGGGTGAGGGCCAGGCACCTCCTTCCTTCCCAGACTGTGCTGCCAGCTTCCTCACTGCTGCTGCTGACAGCGCGTGTGAGGAGCCCCCTGCACCCACTGGCCTAGCTGACTACAGTGGTGCTGGGAGGGATTTTCTTCGGGGAGCTGGGGCAGCTGAAGATGTATTTCCAGACAGCTATGTATCCACTTGGCATGAAGAGGATGGCGCTGTCCCTGAAGGCTGTCCAACCGAGACCCCTGTCCAGCCCGACTGCATACTGGCTGGACCCCGCCCACCTGGTGTGAAGACCCCAGGGCCACCCGTCGCACTCTTTCCCTTTCACTTGGGTGCTCCTGGGCCACCTGCACCACCCCCTTCAGCACCATCGGGGCCAGCCCCTGCGCCCCCACCCACCTTCTACTCCACACTCCAGCCGGAGGCAGCACCCAGCACTCAGCTGGGGGAGGCCCCAGCTCCCTCTGCTGCTCCCACCACAGCCCCCTCAGGCACCCCTGTTCGCACCCCAGGTGCCGAGCCACCTGCCTATGAGTGCAGCCACTGTCGAAAGACGTTCAGCTCCCGGAAAAACTACACCAAGCACATGTTCATCCACTCGGGTGAGCCAGGGCGGGAGAGGAGAGGGAGCAATCAATCTCTCATTGGAGTTAAACCTGAGGGGGAACTGAGCACTAGGTACAGGGCATTGGTACTGTTCTGTTACTTTTGGGTAGCAGGGGGTCTGGAAATTGAGACTTCCCCCAAGTGCAAGGCATGTCGGGGAGGGGAAAGCCCCGCTATGTTGCAACAGTGGGCAGTGGCTTCTGTGGAGGGGGATCCTGAGGCTGGGTTGGGAAGCAGGAGCCTATCCTAGCATTGGGAAGGGTGGTGGTGGAGCCTTTAGCAGTCTGGGATGCACGTGATTGGGATGGAGCCTTGGCAGGGGGTCCTGGCCAGGCTGGGAAACTATGCTCCCAAGGAGCCTCCTGTGTCTCTCTGGTTGCCAGCAGTCCCGTTGTGAGCTGGCAGAAAGGGAGGGTGGACTTACTGGGCCATGGTAGAAAGCCCTTAGAGAGGTGGCAGGATGAAGGCCCCAGGAACTCTTGAGATTGGGGCAGGAGAAGGAAAACATGGCTGCAGTGTGGGGACCCCTCCACTGCAGTGAACAGCCCCCGAAAGCTGTGGGGAGGTTCCCTCAGACCTTGGCTGTGTCAGGGAGGCTGCTCTGCAGGGCTGTTGGAGAGGTAAGGAGTGTGAGGATGGTACTGCGGAATGTGGTAGGCATGCTCCCTGGGGGCTGAGACGGAGGACAAGGGAATGGAAAGCAGAAGCCTGCTGGGCATTGTCAGAAAAAGCAAAAATTTGGCTGGAAGACCACAGTGGGAGTGAGGGGGGTTTCTTCAGGGGCTGGAACTTGGGATTTCCTGTGAGCGGTGGGGAAGCCATGGTGGTCTCACCTGGGGAGTGACTGAGATGTCAGTTTAAAATCACCTCTGGCTGCCTTGGGGACGATGGGGAGAAGCCAGGGGCCTGCAAATAAGGGAGTAGGGTGATGTGTGATCTAGGCCAGATGCCTGGGCCTGGTTAGTCTGGAGGACCCCCTGGCAGGCATTGTCTTTAAGTCCTCTGCCACTGAGAGAGGGATTTTTTGTTTTGAGAGACCAAGTCTTGCTCTGTTGCCCAGGCTGGAGTGCAGTGGTGCGATCTTGGCTCACTGCAACCTCTGCCTCCCAGGTTCAAGTGATTCTCATGCCTCAGCTTCCCGAGTAGCTGGGATTACAGGCGTGCACCACCACACCCAGCTAATTGTTGTATTTTTAGTAGAGATGGGGTTTCGCCATGTTGGCCAGTCTGGTGTGGAACTCCTGGCCTCAAGCGATTGCCCGCCTCAGCCTCCGAAGTGCTGGGATTACAGGTGAGAGCCATCATGCCTAGTTGAGATAGGCACTTTGTTAACACCTGATGAATCTAGGGACAGACCCAAGTTGCCTCTCCTCCCCTAACCCAGAATGAGGAGCTCTACCACACCAAGGACATTATAGTGGCTAGCGGGCAGGGGTTCTGGGCAACGGGGGTTTCCCCCAGGAAAGCGGCAGATGTGGCCGGGTCCCTCCTTATGAAAGGGCACTGGCCTTGTCAGACTGAGTTTAGAAGGCTCTATGGGCATGGGTGAGGGGGGCCAGGCTGAGTGGCTCCCTGTGCCAGATGGGTGGGGGTTGAGGTGGAGGGTCCCTGAGGGTAGAGGAGATCCCAGTGGGCAGTCCAGATGGGCAAGTGTTCCAGACAGGCTGGGTTCCCTGCTGGCAGGGTACTTGCTGGATTTAGGGGAGCCCTGTCAGTCGTGTCCCAGGATGACAGAAAGGGAGTCTCTGCCAGGAAAGGGTGGGAAAGCCCGAACGTGAAGGGAGGTCCTAGAAAGGAGGGGGTGTCCCTGCTGGGCAGGAAGATCCCATAGTGAGGGGAGGGTTCTCTGACAGACAAAGGGTGCCAGGGAGCCCCTGCCAGGTCCAGGCGCCCGGGGTGGGGGTGGGGTGGGATTGGGGAGGGAGCTGTAGAGTCTGACTTGCGTTTGCGGCCCGCCCTGTCGTCCTCAGGGGAGAAGCCGCACCAGTGCGCCGTGTGCTGGCGATCGTTCTCGCTGCGTGATTACCTGCTCAAGCACATGGTCACGCACACCGGCGTGCGCGCCTTCCAGTGCGCCGTCTGCGCCAAACGTTTCACGCAGAAGAGCTCGCTCAACGTGCACATGCGCACTCACCGGCCAGAGCGCGCACCCTGCCCTGCCTGCGGCAAGGTCTTCTCGCACCGCGCACTGCTGGAGCGCCACCTGGCCGCACACCCTGCGCCTTGATGGGGCTGGGCCTGTCCTCGCCCACGGTGGATCCGCGGCCTCCGGCACAATCGCCCACGCCTGCTGCGGGACGCGTGGTTCCCGCCACTAGGCCACGCTCCCTTCTGAACCCAGATCGTCTTTCTCCCTTCACCCCTTTCTCCATACCAGGGCCCAAGTCTGCCTTACTCCTCTCCACGTACTTGAACCTTCCAGGTGGTGCCGGGCTGGAACTGGGACTGGTTAGGTACCAAACCACCTCTGAGAACTAGCCCATTTTCAGCCTAAACCAGTCCCTCAGGCCCTTGGACCCGGCCCAAGATTTGACTCCCGGTTCTCGCCCCGCCCTCTTCTGGGTGGGGTTGGGGCTGAGTCGAGGGCCCTGCCCCACTGTTGGGCTGGGTGAGGTCCCTGGCTCCGTACTCAAGCTATCACTCCCTCATGGGGCACCTAAGGAGGATCAAGTGGACCCATCATATATGAAGGCTGGGCCTCGGGACCCTGACTCAAATAAAGGACTGTAGGCCATGGGGCCTAAACCACGAAGCTGTGAGCACCTGGATCAGTGCGCCCCTTACCCTCATAGACAAGCTGTGGGTGTCAGGGCTTACTTAGTGTCCCTGTTCTTGGGCGGCATCCATGCCACCCACAGGCTCTCCTGGGCAGGGACAGGATGACTTTGCCATCTCGGACTTCTATTCTGTAGAGGATAGGGTGCGCTGCATACATAACCGGGACCTGGTTCTGTTGAAGCCCGTGGTCCTGTGGGGAGGAAGACAGGCAGGCCACATCTGAGGTGGGCTTCCCCTCCCCGACTCTGATGGATATGGCTGAGCACCTTACTTGTGGGGAGCCCAAGGGCAGTTGGGGACACCACCGCTAGTGGCCAGCCAATGTCCCAGGCTCCTGCATCCAGTGCAGAGAGCAGCCACTCTGCCCCCACCCTTCTTCAGCACATTAGTGGCTCCTAGCCCAGGTCCCCTGCCCTAAGGATTTGGAGCTGGTGGAGTGGGGTGCGGCCTGGAGGGCCATGCCCCAGCCTGACCTGCCAGACTCCTAGGCCAATGGCAGCTCCTCTGGGTTGACCTTCTGAGACTGCCTCCTAGACATGAGAGACCAGGGCTTTGGCCGGGCGCGGTGGCTCAAGCCTGTAATCCCAGCACTTTGGGAGGCCGAGGCGGGTGGATCACGAGGTCAAGAGATCGAGACCATTCTGGTCAACATGGTGAAACCCCGTCTCTACTAAAAATACAAATAATTAGTTGGGCATGGTGGTGAGTGCCTGTAATCCCAGCTACCCAGGAGGCTGAGGCAGAATTGCCTGAACCCAGGAGGCGGAGGTTGCGGTGAGCCGAGATCGCGCCATTGCACTCCAGCCTGGGTAACATGAGTGAAACTCCGTCTCAAAGAAAAAAAAAAAGAAAAAAAAGAGACCAGGGCTTTGACGATCCAACTGTGCATCATGGGCAGAGTTCAGTCTCCTGAATCCCAGGACTCCATCTTCATCAAAGCCAGAGGTGGGGCAGAGAGTCACAGAGCCAGCACATGGGTCGGGGGCAGAGCTGGGTTTGAATCCAGGCAATGCAAGTGTTCCTCTGTTTACTGACCACTTGCTGTATGCCTGGCAGGAGGCTACAATTCCTGGCATCATGGGACAAGGGGCTAAGCCTGGCTGAGTCCCTCTCCCCAAGGGTTAAATGAGTGCCACAGGAGGACCTCCCAGTGAGAAAGGCTGTGCTTGGGGAGGGGTCCACCTTGCTGTCCTGTTGCTTTTGTTTAGCCTGATTGGAGTTTTCCCAAGGGCAGGGATTTCTGTGCTCTGGGTGCCTGGTACGCAGAAGGGACAGGAGGGGAGGGAAGGGAAGCAGATGCCAGCCCTGGAGGGGGCATGGGGCAGGCAGAACAGCAGGAAGGAGGCTAGTGGTGGGGCCCAAGGGGCAGAGACCTGGGAGCCCAGAGGCCAGTGATGGAAAGGGGTCACACCTGGCAAAGAAGGAGGGGGCTTGTTGTGGGAATCAGGAGCCTAGAGAGACCAACTGGTGAAACAGGAGGATTTTATTAAGGTGCACACCTGCTCGGCTGATTGGCATCCCAGGCCGGGCACGTTGGCTCACACCTGTAATCCCAGCATTTGGGGAGGCTGAGTGGATCGCCTGAGGTTGTGAGTTCAAGACCAGCCTGACCAACATGGAGAAACCCCGTCTCTACTAAAAATAAAAAATTAGCCGGGGTATGGTGGCACATGCCTGTAACACCAGCTACCCAGGAGGCTGAGGTAGAAGAATCACTTGAACCCATGAGGCAGAGGTTATGGTGAGCCAAGATGGCGCCATTGCACTCCAGCCTGGGCAACAAGAGTGAAACTCTTTCTCAAAAAAAAAAAAAAAAAAATCCCAAAAACGGAGCTTCGAACAAAGATAGGGCTTGGCTTTTATACACAAAATGCAGGAGCAGAACAAAGGCAATTCATCAAACAATGACAGGTTTATAACTCAAGCTTACACGTGACTTGCTGTGCGGCCCAGATGACCTGTATCTCAGTTGCACGGCTTATCTTGCATCCTTCGCTATGGGGCCTGGATGGCTGCAATCCAGGCCTGCTTAGACATGTCACACACACTGACCTGCGTTGCTCATATGGAAAACAGAAACTTACAGTTATCAGCTATAGAGAATAAGAATACAAGAATCTATAAACTTATGAAACTTGCAGAGCAGTTCCACGGGAAGGGGTAAGGTCTCAGGGAAGTTTGCTTCTACCTAAGAAGGAAAATCTGTTTTCCTGCTCCTATCTCCCGCCTCAGGCTGATGAGGGTGGCAAGCAGGCAGAGAGGGGCTGGAGCCATACACAAGACCATGCAGAGCAAACAAACATGTAGAGAAGGGCAGGGGGCAAAGTCCTAGGGAGATGAGCAGCCACTGTCAGCAGTGCCAGGGCCACCACCCCTGGGGAGGAGCCATTGTGCTACTCAGAAGCCAGGGGTGATCCTGAACATTCGACAGCTGCTGCTCCTATGGAGGAGCTGGTACCATGGGTGTCAGGCGACGATTGGCTTTGCTGCTGCTGCTGCTGCTGCTGCTCCTGCTCTGGGGCCTGGGGCAGCCAGTGTGGCCAGTGGCTATGGCCGTGGCCCTGCGCTGGCTCCTGGGGGATCCCGCGTGCTGCGCGCTACTTGGCCTGGCCATGCTAGCACGGCCCTGGTTCAGCCCCTGGGTGTCCCATGGGCTGAGCCTGGCAGCTGCGGCCCTGGCACTAACCTTGCTGCCGGCACGGCTGCCCCCGGGGCTACGCTGGCTGCCGGTTGATGTGGTCTTCTTGGCCAAGATCCTCCACCTGGGCCTGAATGTCAGGGCATGCTTAGGCCGACAGCCGCCTTATACCTTTGTAGATGCCTTCGAGCGACGAGCACAAGCACAGCCTGGCAAGGCAATCTTGGTGTGGACTGGGCCTGGGGCCGGCACAGTCACTCTCGGCGAGCTGGAAGCCCGGGCCTGCCGGGCGGCATGGGCCCTGAAGACTGAGCTGGGTGGCCCTGCGAGCCTGCGTGCCAGGGAGCCTGCTGCCCTTCTGGTGCTGGGTTCCCAGGCCGTTCCAGCCCTGTGTGTGTGGCTCGGGCTGGCTAAGCTGGGCTGCCCAACAGCCTGGATCAACCCACATGGCCGGGGGACACCCCTGGTGCACTCTGTGCTGAGTTCTGGGGCCCGGGTGCTCGTGGTTGACCCAGGTGAGGGCCTTGGAGCCAGTGGGGGATGGAAGGGGGCGAGGGCTGGGGCCATAAGACAGGGGTCCTGCTGGGACTGGCAGAGGCCCTTGCTCCCACCCACCCACTTTCACAGGCAGTTAGAATCAAGACTTATGAGCAGAAAGTAGTTCACATGTCACCAGAGGTTAATTTTCCCACAATGCTATTTCAATCCTTTTTGACCAAAAATAACTAAGGATGGGATTCTTTACCAAACAACATGGACGTTTTTCTCTGCCAGCTGCTCCTCTGCCTATGTCTGTGGGTCTCAGATCCTGCCTTGTGACCTCTAAGGTAAGCCTTGCCTCTTTCTACTCTGACCCATCCCTGCAGACCTCTGGGAGAGTCTGGAGGAGATCCTTCCCAAGCTGCAGGCCGAGAACATCCGCTGCTTCTACCTCAGCCATACCTCCCCTACACCAGGGGTGGGGACTCTGGGAGCGGCCCTGGATGCGGCACCCTCCCACCCAGTGCCTGCTGACCTGCGTGCTGGGATCACACGGCAAAGCCCTGCCCTCTTCATCTACACCTCAGGGACCACTGGTGAGGGTGCCCATCAGCCCTGGCACCAGCCTCTGAACTCTCAGGCTGACCTGACCCCACACTTGACCTGTGCCTCCATGTTGACCTCTGAAGCCACTTTACCCTCTGTTTTTTTGTTTATTTGTTTGTTTGAGATGGAGTCTTGCTCTGTCGGCCAGGCTGGAGGGCAGTGGCGTGATCTCAGCTCACTGCAACCTCCACCTCCCGGGTTCAAGCAGTTCTCTGCCTCAGCCTCCTGAGTAGCTGGGATTACAGGCATGTGTCACCATGCCTGGGTAATTTTTGTATTTTTAGTAGAGATAGGGGTTTGCCAAGTTGGCCAGGCTGGTCTCAAACTCCTGACCTCAGGTGATCTGCCCACCTCAAGCTCCAAAAATGCTGGGATTAAAGGAATGAGCCACTGCGCCCAACCTTGATTTTGACATTTGGCCTGAACTCTGACCCCCAGTATAATCTGAACGATCAATGCCAGAATTCTTCCTGTGTCCAGTAAACAGCCACTGAAACCTTTGGTCTTGACATACTGCTCTCAGTTCAAATTCAGCCTGTGAACCCAACCTCAAATACTTATACTTGACTGCTCTCTGACAGCCTCAAACCCCAGTGCAGGCCTGCCTGTTGGTGATCCATCCCTCTGGTCAGGCCCCTCTCCATGCTGTCATTTCACCACCTTACCCTTGCTGTGCCTTCACCTCAAGGCCTCCCGAAGCCAGCCATCCTCACGCATGAGCGGGTACTGCAGATGAGCAAGATGCTGTCCTTGTGTGGGGCCACAGCTGACGATGTGGTTTACACGGTCCTGCCTCTGTACCACGTGATAGGACTTGTCCTCGGGTTCCTCGGCTGCTTAGATCTTGGTAAGCCCACCTCTGAGGATCCCTCCAATCTACAGGACTACTGGAGTAAGTGTCAGGGAAGAGCTGTCAAGGTAAAAAGACCCTGCACGTTACCCAGCACTCTGCGTTCTCACTTTTGAGAAGGGACATCCTTCCATGCGTACCAGGGCCACACAGACAGAAACTTGGACACCCACACAGTCCCTAATGGCTGTGCTTTGGTCAGGAGGTGACACGACTGGATATGAGTGATGGTCACAGGCATCCAAGGAAGGTGGGGTGCTCAGGAGATGATGGGGATGCTGGGCCAGATTTGTGACATGGCCCAGGGGGAGATGGAGTAGGAACGCTCCCAGGCACTTTACAGGGCTTTCTGGACACTTGATTCAGAATTTAGATGGGGACCTCTCCATAGCTTGCTCTTTTTCTTTTCTTTTTCTTTTTTCTTTTTTTTTTT